TTCATGGTTTGGGGTTTAGGCTTTGGGGTTTCTTGGGGTGGTGGAGGGTTTAGTTGAGGGCTGAAGGTTTCGTTCAGTGGGGCTTTAGGGGCTTTAGTGTTTGTTTAGAGCAGTTATTAATTTAGGTCTTTTTTAACAGAGTATTGATGGGTTTGACAGGGTAATGACAGGGTTCTGGCAGGGTATGTTAGGGTTAAGGGCTTAGCGGCTTATGCTTAAGAGCTGAACCTTGGGGCTATGATAATGGGGCTTTTAAGGGTAGTGATAGTGTGGAAGAGCTGTATCTTGCGTTGTTGTTCATGGGCTTTAGAAGGTCCGAATGGTGTTGTCATAGGGTTGAGTTCTGGAAGGTTTCATCCTTGGGTTTTTCAAAGGGACTTCCAGAGACTAAGGGGCACTGACGTAGTTTCCAAATCATGCGCGGACGCCCTGAAGAAGTGCACCTTGGGTTCTTGAATCGTGCTAAATAGGATTCGTCTGGGGCTTTAGGGCATAGATAGAGACAACGGCGTTCCTGTGGGGCGTAAGATTTGGGATGTTTTGTGCTGCCACGGTTCTCTCAGGGGGGTTTGCGTGATCGTTTACCAGTTTGTTTAGAGTTTAGGTATGCTGAAGACCTGTACTATGGCTTCGTTCAGGGGGTTGTAGAAGATTGTGATAGGGCTGCACAGGATTTCTTTGCTGTGTTGTGGGATCTTCGCTGAGGGGGCCTGTGTGTCTAGGGTTTCGGACTTGAGCCCCCCGTAAACCCTAAACCATAAACCCTGAACCCTAAACCCCAAACCCTCCCCTCAAGGCCCCATAAGGTTTGGAGATGTAGTTGTGAGATAGGCGTCGATCTTGTGTACGAAGTTGTCAAACCCTTTAAGGTAAGAGACCCTTGATCACTTTAAAGGAACCCTAAAGCCTTTATGGTAGAAGCCATAAAGTTGGAACATCATACTCTTCATGTCCTTCAGCTACAGACAAAGGGATTCTAGCACTAATCATCTTGAATCCATGTTCCACCTTTCTAGGGTTCAGAATAAAATCATCAACTCTAAACCCTTCTAGATCCCCTTTTTGATCCCTTTAAAGAAACCCTAAACCCCTTTCATCCTTCAAAGCTCCTAAGCCCTAAACCCTAGACCGGACATTAGCCCCTTAAAAGGAGCCCTTACATAGATCCCTTTGAAGGAACCCTAAACCACCAAAAAATCCTTGAAAGGTAAGGGGCAACAGCATCTCCTTAACCCCTTAAAAGGAACCCTTACACTGGATCCCTTTAAAGGAGCCCGAAACATCCTAAAAGCATCTCCTTAATCCCGTAGAAGGAACCCTTACCGTGATCCCTTTAAAGGAACCCCCTAAACCCCCGAAAGCCCTAGAAAGGTAAGGGGCAAAAGCATCCCTTTAGCCCCTTAAAAGGAACCCTTACATAGATCCCCTTTAAAGGAACCCCCTAAACCCTCTTAAAAACCCTAGAAAAGGGAAGGGGCAAAAGCATCTCCTTAACCCCTTCAAAGGAACCCTTACAGAGATCCCGTTAAAGGAACCCTCAACCACCCGAAAAATCCTTAAAAGGTAAGGGGCAAAAGCAGCTCCTTAACCCCTGAAGAGGAACCCTTACACTAGATCCCTTTAAAGGAACCCTTGAAAAGGTAAGGGGCAAAAGCATCTCCTTAACCCCTCAAAAGGAACCCTTACAGAGATCCCTTTAAAGGAACCCCCTAAACCCCTTAAAAATCCTAGTAAGGTAAGGGGCAACAGCATCTTTACACTAGATCCCTTTAAAGGAATCCCCTAAACCCCCTTACAAATCCTAGAAAAGGTAAGGGGCAGAAGCACCTCTTTAACTCACCCTTACACTAGATCCCTTTACAGGAACCCCCCAAAACCCCTTTAACCCTAATCCCTAAACCCTAAACCCTAAAATCCTAGAAAGGTAAGGGGCAACAGCATCTATTTGAAGATGTCAAGCACGTCATGGAGGGTCACGGCTCCTGCGCCCGTCACGGCGGCCGCTGCCGTGTCCCAGAGGAAGCTTGGATTTTTGAGTGAGGTTTAGGGGTTAGGGTTTAGGGATTAGAGTCAGAGTTTGGGGTTTAGGGTTTAGGGTTTAGGGATTAGAATTTTGGGTTTAGGGCTCAGGGTTGAGAGTTTGGGGTTTAGGGTTTAGGGTTTAGAGTTTGGGGTTTAGGGTTTAGGCTCAGGGATTAGAGTTTGGGGTCGAGGGGTTTAGGTTTAGGGTTCAGAGATTAGAGTTTGGGGTTTAGGTTTAGGTTTTAGGGCTCAGGGATAAGAGTTTGGGGTCTAGGGTTTAGGGACTATGGTTGGTAAGACTGTGGGACCCCCTGCTGAAGCGTGAACTGGGCAACGAAGGAGAAGCCCTAAACCCCTAAACCCCTAACCCCTACTTGGAGGTTCATGGGTAGTTATAAGTGCAGTTATAAGTAAGGTAACTATAATTATAACCCATATCAGGGGACTTATAACTCTACTTATAACCCATGAACCTCCAAGTAGATCCTAGACCCTAAACCCTAAACCCATTATAACCCATGAACCTCCAAGTAGATCCCAGACCCTACACCCTAAACCCAGGAGGAGGTGGACATCTTCATCGGCGGGTTTCCTTGCACTCCGTATTCCTTTTGCAACCCGAAGAGGTTCAAGCGGAACTGAACCCTAAACCCTATACCACAGAAGCCGCAAACCCTAAATCCCCAAACCCTAAATCTCTAAACCCTTAAACCCTAAGTACTAAACCCCTAACCCCCGAAACCCCTAAAGCCCCAAACCCCAAACCCCAAAACCCCTAAACCCCTAAACCCCCTGAACCCAAAGCCTTTTGCGTCTCCCAAGAGGTTCAAGCGGAACTGCTTCACTGAGCCTGCAGCCGCCCCGTTCTTCGAGATGCGGAAGTTCATCGCTGCGAGGCGACCGCGCCTGGTGATCCTGGAGAGCCTTCGGGGCACTTGGAAGCAGCTTTTAGGGCTTAAGTGGTGGGTTTATAGGGGGTTTCTAGGCGTTTTTAAGGTTCTAGGTCTTTACATGGAGAACACAAGGGGTACTTGGAAACAGCTTTTAGGGCTTAAGTGGGGGGTTTTAGGGGTTTCTAGGGGTTCCTTACGGATACTTGGAAACAGCTTTTAGGGCTTAAGTGGGGGGTTTATAGGGGGTTCTAGGCGTTTTTAAGGTTCTAGGTCTTTACATGGAGAGCCTTAGGGGTACTTGGAAACAGCTTTAGGGCTTAAGTGGGGGGTTTTAGGGGTTTTAGGGTTCTGGGGATTTTTAAGGTTTTAAGGCTTGAGGGTTTTAGGGACTATAACCCAAGTTCGGCATAGGAACGTCCGGGGCCTGCTGGCGCCGAATCCCGAGACTAAAGACACTCCCATGGACTTCATCCTCCGTGGCAAGAACCCGGAGGACTCGCAGCACTGCTACCAACCCTAAAGCTTAAACCCTAAACCCGAAACCCTAAACTCTAAACCCTAAACCCGAAACCCTAAATCCTAAAACCCGAAACCCTAAACCCCAAACGCTCAACCCGGAGGACTCGGAGCACGGCTATCAGGGCACCGAGCCTGGTGCACAGTGGGGTCTCAGTCTCATCGAGGGCTACGGGCTCCACTGGGACCTCCTTTACTCCTGCGACTGGGGCCTGCCACAGAGGCGTCCGCGAGTCTACATCGTGATGGTAAGGGAGGATGCCGGAGGGCAAGAAGCCGCAGACCGCATCTTCAAGGTGCTCCATGCATGTGCAGGTCATCTGCCTTGTGGCTCCTGCAACGACTTCTTGTATCCCGAGGACCACCCACGGCTACACAAAGCGAGGCAGCTGGCGCAAGGCGCCAGCAGCGGCGAGCGTAAGCCTTGCACGCCCTTCACAGAGGCTCTCTTCAAGGCCACGCGCCAGGAGCATGGTCTTGATGCTTCAGAGCGTCCCTACACGAAGCAGCGGCCGAAAGGCTGGTATCCCGAGGCGACGGAGAAGATGGTCCAGCAGCTTGACATCATCCACGCCCTTGCGGAAAAGAGGGGCCTAGACTTCAAGTTCCTGTTGGCGGATCTTAGTCAGCAGGTTTCGCGGGGCTGCTGGAGGGATGATGGGTACGTCCCAACACTGACGACGGCCGGTTCTCTCTACAGCTTCCATCACCACCGCCCCATTGTGGGCGAGGAGTGCTTGAAACTGAACGGCTTCCCGGTGGAGGAGCTGGATCTCGAAGGATTTACCGACAACGAGCTCAAGTTCCTGGCATGCAAAGGAAACCATATCATTTTAAACCTCCATTATGGCAACTTAAATATACTCTTCGAAGGAAGCCATATTGTTTGCTATGAATCCCTATTCTGGAGACCCGAGAATCAGGTTCCTGAACCAGAACACTTTAACCGCGAACCGTTAAGCGATTAACCCCTAAGCCATAAACCGCAAACCCCGAAACCGGAAACCCCTATAAACCCTAAAGACCTATAAACCCTGAACTCCTGACCCCTAAACCCCTGTAAACCCTGAACCACAAGACCCTAAAGCCTTAAACCCTAAACCCCAAGCCTAAGCCCAGGTTCTTGGCGGGCAACGCCATGTCGGTGTCCGTGGTGGGCGCGGCTGGGTTCTTGTTGAGGAATTTCGTTTAAGTTGCCATAAGAGGGATCTATCGTAAATAGTAACGATCTGAAATAAATAAATAAATAAATATATATGTATATATATATATATGTATATATATATATATATATGTATATATATATATATATATGTATATATATATATATATTTAGTGAGTAATGGGGTCCATAGAAAATAATAGGGGTCTATCGTGAATGATAGGAGTCGAAAGTGAATGATTAAGGTCTATCGGAATAATGGGGGCTATCGTGTATAATAGGTGTCTATCGTGAATAATGGAGTTTCCTTTTTATAGTATCTTATACAAACCCAAAACCCTAAACCCCAATCCCTCCAACTTAAACCGTAACCCCTAGAGTTCCGAACCCAGGCGGTGCTCCTCGCCGGCCTCATCTCGGTTTCATGGGGAGAGAACCTTACCAGTCGGTGGAGTAGGCCCCTTTTTCATTGTTGTGGTTTAAAGGTTTATCACGTTGTCACAAAAGGCTTAGGATTTAGGCTTTATTTAGGGCTTAGGCGTAAGGGTGCAACGGGTTTCGGGTGTATAATCCCTGACCTCTTGAAGAGAATACGTAATGTGGGGATTAGACTGAAGACTAGACCTTAAACCCTGAATCCTTAATGTTTCGGTCTGATATATATATCCTAAACCCTAAACCCTAAACCCTAAACCCTAAACCCTAAACCCCAAGGAACAGGTCTGCCGCCGCCACGAAGGAGCTCCCAGCTGCGATGGGCCGCGAGCCGAGGTATCGCAAGAAGGAGACCGAGGATGGGCAGGTGCTGGTTGTTGAAACAGCGTTAGAACCTTGGGAGCTCCTTATCATAATTCTAGTATAATGGGCCCCCAAACCCTATTCTGATTATTAAGGCACCTATATTAAACCCTACTTGGAGAATCATGGTATTTAGTAAGTAAGGTTATAAGTCCCTTCATTGGGGTTATAAGTAAATGTAAGTGTAGTTACCTGAGTTGTAACCCTACTTACAAAATCCCATGATCCTCCAAGTAGGGTTCCTTTACAGCGATCTAGACGGGATCTACAAGGGTTTAGGGTTGACGATTTCTCTAGGGTTTAGGGATTTAGGGGCCAAGGGGTTAAACGCTTAGGGTTTAGGATAAAGCTTAAAGCCCAAACTCGCCATATGGTAGGTTCCACCTTCTGGAGCGACCCATAACGACCCCAAACCCTTATTCACAGCCCGAGGATCCGTAGCTGAACCCTAAACCCTAAACCCTAACCCCAACCCTAAACCCTAAACCCTAAACCCTACACCTTGTCTTGAACCGTAACAAAAATCCAAAGCCCTGACCTCCAAGCCAAAACCCCAGACGCAAAAACCCTAAAGCCCTAAACCCTAAATCCTGAGAACCTTTAACCCCAAAGCCCTGACGCCCTCAAGCCCGAAAGCCCTGAAGCCCTAAACCCTAAAGCCCCAAAGCCCTAATCCCTAAACCCTCAAGCCCTAAATCCCCGAAGCCCTACAACCCAAAAGCCCTAAAGCCCCGTCCTCCTGAACTTCCGTTTCAGGTCGTCTTGGCCAGCGTGGCACTCGATGACGATGGTTCGGACACTTACTGATGCAAATGGGAAAGGGAGGAGGGAATATAGGGCTTTAGGGTTAAGGGTTTCAGGGTTTAGGGACTACTAGAAGGGAGTCTATAGGCCCTACTCTCTGAACTTAAACGCCTAACCCTTAAGCCCTAAACCCCAAACCCTAAAATTTTAAGCCCCAAAAGCCCTAAACCCTAAAATCCTAAACCCTGTACCATCTAGGACTCTTTCAGGTGGGTAGTTACCGTTATAGGAGCCTTATAGAGGGTCTATATGCCTGATGGAAGCCTTATAGAAGCCCTATATACCCTAAACTCCCCACCTGTACTTTGCTTTCGTACCACTGCCAGTGAGGAGACGGAGCCCGATCCCTCGGAGAGCAAAATTTCTGCGAGGGCAGCGATGCTCTTCCTCATGGCCAAGGAGGTCCCTGATGGTGGTGGTGGGTACCTATGGGCTTAGGGTCGGCGGCCCGCTGAAATCCTAGAAATGGGGGGGTTTACCGAAACTCTCCTTTTGCTCTCAACTCCCCATACCCGCAACCTTTAAGCGCCCTAAGCCCTAAAGGCCATAAGTTCCCCCGGAAGAGGTGCAAGCGGCGAAGAGCGAGAAGGGCGGTTTCTGGGATGCATGAGAGATGGCCTGCAACTGCGTGCTACATTGTCTTGCAGGGTTCAGGGTTTTGGGGTTTTAACGATTGGGGCATGCGGAGGTTGGGGGTCTCCGGTTTAGTGTTTCGGCAGTCCCAGGTTCTTCGGGCACGAAGCGCAAGCGCTCGACGGTGCAGGAGGAGGACGCAATGTAGTTTGTTTCTGCATGTCGGAGAGGTGTTGATATCTCTTGTGCTTAGTGTCATTCTTCCCGTTTAGGAACTCCCCTTAAACAAAACCTGATTCGCCACCCAAGAACTTAAATTCACCGATTGCTCGCAACATTGTTCTCGAAAGTCTTGTGGGGCGGAGAGTGACTTGTCAGAAAAAACAATGGTGGCGAGGCACAGTAGCTGGTAGTCATAGCGAGCATGCCGCAACGGATGTGTCTGTTCACGACATGTGTGCCCGCTTTCGCTGCTCCGGAGTTGTAGTTGGGGGTCTTCGAAGGTGCGAGGTTGTGAGTTGCAGATCTTCAAGCGGAATCTTGCACTGACAAAGAGTTGAGGTGCCGCTACTAGAAGGCTCAAAGACTTTGTTTGGAATTTCTAAACCTGTCGAAGACCCAGTAAATAAAGCATGCTTGGAGAATCATGGGATTTAGTAAGCAAGGTTATAAGTCCCTTCATTGGGGTTATAAGTATAGTTCTCTTAATTATAACCCTACTTACTAAGTCCCATGATCCTTTAAGTGCCGAGAATGCCCATCAGACCTTCCAAACCACTGCGAAGCGCCGAAGAAGGGAACTCCAACCCCCAACCCCAAATCCTGGACCCGAAACTTAGGGTTTATGGCTTAGGCTTTAGGGTATTAGGGTTTAGGGTCTAGGGTTTAGGGTCTAGACCCTGCTACACGGATGGTTGTTATGGCCCAGTTTTTCTGTCACTAGCTGGAGGCCCACAACAGCATCGGCTGATTGGATCATGGGGCGGTATCCCTAGACCCTAAATCTCAAACGCCAAACACTAAACTCGAACCGACTGCGAAACCTATATTGCTTACCACCCAGGGCCAAACTAAAAAACATCACACCATTCGGACTGCAGTTTGCACAAAGCCATAGTCCACTTACCCGAAACCTTCCTCCCTGAACCGAAAAACTCAAAACTCTAAATCCTGAAACCTTCACCACGGACTGACAGGAGGAGGATCCGCAAAGTTGGGAGGGGCGCCACAAGGAGCGCAATGTCCCTAACTCGAAACCCGAATCCTTAATCTTGAAGCCACACCTGAGGGTTTAGGGTTTAGGGTTGTAGTTTAGGATTTGGGGTGTAGGCTTCAGTTTTAGGGTTTAGGGTTTAGGCTTGGATCTCACAAGCCACACCCAAACCCGTAAGCCTTGACCCAAATCCCCTAGCCCGAAGCCCTGAACCCTTTCCCCCTAAACCCTAAACCCTAAACCTTAAACCCTAAACCCTAACCCCTAAACCCTGGCCCTCTAAACTCTAAACCCTAAACCCTAAACTCTAATCCCTCAAACCCTAAACCCTAAACCCTGAACCCTCAAAGCCTGCATCCCTGGAGCCAGGCGCTGAGGAAGAAGAAGAAGGCCGACAGCCAGGTTTGCTCCTGGGTGCTGGAGGCGCGGGAGATCAGCACTATATATATATATATATATATACATACACCCTAAACCCTACACCTAAACCCTATATATATATATATACATACACATATAGATAGATAGATAGATAGATAGATAGATAGATAGACACACACACACACATTTTGTATAATATGTATGTCATGCACTCTGCAGGCTTTAGGCCCTAAGCCTTAATCCCTGAAAGCCAACTTCCCTAAAGGCTCATCACCGCATTCACCAAGCCCTACCGAAAAACCCAAGTGCCCTCAAGCTGGGTTTAGGGTCCTAAAAAAGACAGGTTCTTTAGGGTCCAGGTAGGGTTTAGGGTTTCGGGGTTTCGGGGTTTAGGGGTTTAGGGTTTAGGGTTTCTCCAAGTCTTACTTGGAGGATCACGGGACTTAGTAAGTAAGGTTATAAGTCCCTTAGTTGGGGTTATAAGTATAGGTATCTTAATTATACCTTACTTACTAAGTCCCACGATCCTTTAAGTAGGGTTTAGAGTTAGGGTTTTTGAAAGCATGACCTATAGCTGCAAACGAAAACTCATGCAAGCTTCGTTCACTTGCAGCTAGAACTATCGTCTGCCAGCTTTTGGGGTTGCAGGCACTGACCGAAATCGAGTTTCGTCTCAGTGTTTAGGGGAGTGCGTTAAACCTAATCCGTAAATCCTAAACCCTAAATCCTAAACCATAAACCCTAAATCCCACACCTGAATCCTAAACCCTAAACCCTAAACCGACAGAATCAATCGAAGCTAAACCTCTCTACGGATGGATTTGAACCTGCGCAAGTTTCAGAAGAGGTTCGGAGAGAAAACCTTGGCTGAACGACTGGGACTGAGACATGAAACGTGCTGATTCTTCATATTCAAATCCTAAGCCAGTAACTGGGGGCGGTTGGGGTTTTGGGGTTTATGGGGTCTTACACTCCTCTAGGGCGACCTCAGCCGTAAGCCCTAGGTGCCGCAAGCAGTGCTGTTTTCCGCAAGTGGAAGCCATCGCCGGCTCATGGCAATAACGATAAGAATACTTGGGGCAGACCGGGGCTCTCAACCATCATGATAAGAGAGTACACTTGGGTAGTTCTCTAAATTAGGGTCCCCTTTTAGGGTCCTTTTTATAANNTACTATATTGGGGACCTAAAAAGGAGGCCCTACTTAGAGAACTACCCACTTACCAGTTGAACTCATGTTTCCAAACTCTGCGTGGAACCCCGAACCTTATACCCCAAAGCTTTCTTTCACCAGTAAACCCGAAACCCTTGACTGAATACCGCTTTCACACTTGCTCTCACAACAGCAAGTTCATGGAGCCCTCGTCAGGTTGTAGACTCTAGCCCTCTCAGGGATGACACGGGTATGGACTGAAAGGCTTCACAGCAGCAAGACCCATCCACAGGTACATGGCCGTGATGAGCAACTTTCGGAAACCATGCGATGAACTAGGTGTTTTTGCTGTTAACGAGCAGGTAGTTCAGAAAAGTATCCATGGAAGCAACAACAGTAAGCCACTGTACTCATGTAAGGCCGACTCACGAAGGAATCCCTGCCCCCTACACAGACACCACCACCACCGCCACCACCGCC